TTCTGTTCTCCTGCGCCCCTCCCAGCCTCTTTTTTTCTCTCTCCATCCCCCCCCCCCCCTTGCTCTCTGCTTTTGATGTTGCTAAGTAATACAAGGCCTACCTCAACTCCTCACAAAGCTGCTTAGCTTGTATTATATATTAAGACATAGAGGGTTGATGCTTATAGAAGTGTTTGTGCCATTAAAGTTGGAGTTTGTTTTTGGACCTTGAGTGCTATTTCACCTTAATCCACACCGAGGGGATTTGCGGACCTTAGTCACTCTCCCCTTCCCGCAGGTGGGATGGGACACAGGCCTCGCAGAATTTTCAGTTAAGGCACTATCTACTCAAGTTTCATTGAAAAGAAGATGCCGCCTTAGCTGAAGTCTGATTTTTTTCTCATGTTTGTAAAGTTCCATTAAACCTTGCAAGATGGCACAGGCCAAGAAATGAGAAAAAATCCTTTTGTATATAGTTCTCCTGACAGTGTTTCACAGGTTGTTTTCCTTTGCTATTTTGAGAAATCATTCAATAATGCACCGTGCATTCGGGTGTAATGAAAAGGCCTTGCACTTTATAAGGTACAAATTAACAAGATCACAGGGCAGACCTCACCAGGGAAGTTTTCACCAGGAAAGCACAAATGGGAATGATCACCTGAATTCTTGCTGAATTTTTATAGGAACAAGCACTGCACTGAATGAAGCCTATGACAGCTGTCTCTCCACGAGCCCTGGAAGTTAGACAGCACTAAGGAAAGATTTGCGAGTTACACTGAGTAGTTTAAAAAAAAAAAATCACTCTCAAAGAATGACAGTATTTTGGCATCCTGGAGTAAAATTACGCTTAAAATCTTCATCAATGGCTTACCAAACCAGTTCCAATTAAAACGGAGTTCACAACAGAAAGCCAAACTCTTGATAACTAACTGCTGAGGAAAAAAAAAAGTTTAACAGATTCAGACATGGTATAATTGAGATGTTTGTACCGTTTTCTCTAGAAATTATATGACCATACAATATATAGACTAAAAAAGGCTACCGAGTTACTAAGATTTTGAGAAATTTCCTCTTTTTTATCTATAGGTTATATCAAAACAAAACAGAGAACTTTGATTGTAAAAGCTGTTGAGAAACTTTGCCATAGGCATATGAGTGTGTCTTTAGAGATTAGAGAATCAAAGTTAGTAGGCCCTGAGATTCTAGTCTCCATCCTGGCACGCTGAGTCCTTTTCCCCCCTGATCCCATGACCTGGCGTGAAAACAAGGCCAGAATAGTCCTGTGGCCTTGGAGAAGATCTCTTACTTGGTTTGTAGTTTATTATATATTCTGTGGTATAGGGAAGAGGAAAAATAAGAGCCTTTTCACAAATAGACTGGAACGGTGTGGATGATTATACAAATAAAATGTGGTTTTTCTGTGCTTTCAATAATACAGGGTAATTTAAAAATATATTATTTAAGCTATATATATGTATAATTATTTTTTTAAATGTCAGAATGTGGCTATCGCACTTTTTTTTAGCAGCCCCAAAGACTCCTCTTAAATAAATAATGTACAAAATAGTTTTTAGAAAGTTGGTGTCTGGTTTAAAGATACTCTGAATAGAGTCCATTTCTTCTGCTTAGGATAAATGGGAAAGCACAAATCAGACTCTGAGCTGGTCAAATAAGTGCCAGAAAGGTATGAGGCTGCAACCGGCCTCCCCGGTTATTGATCCTCCACTGACAAAGACACCGGTCTCTGGAGATAACCATAGCCTGGCTCCCTGCAATGCTGTAGGTTACCGTGTCTACGCCACAGGAATAATTGTTTGCAGTTAAAAGATGAGTTGTAAAAGAGTGGTAAATAGAGAAATGAGCTCTGCTTGTCTCCTCTGCAGCTTCAGAGCCCATTGCCCATCGGTGACCAGGTCCGTGCAGGAGAGGGACCTCGCGGGTGATGGATGTTTCCACCACTTTCTGAAGCTACGTGGCCGGGAAGGGGAGGGCAGTGAGAGGGTAGCTGGGAGGGAAGTGGCAGTGCCCAGCAGAGACTTACAGATGCTGGCACATCCATGCGGGGAAGAGCTGACACCTTCCCTACCTGCCAGGAAAGTTAACGGAGAGTTTGTCTCTGGAGGTAATGTGTGGCCTCAAAAGCCTTTTCATGCAGCTGATCCCATTGCTTCCTTCTTGTGCGACTCCCTTGCAGGTAAAAACCTGCAGCTTGTCTGCGAGCTGCCAGAGGCTCTGATACTTGTTTCCTCCTTGAGATTTGACTCATGCAAGGTGCCAAAACATGGCATGAGTTTCATTTGCGTGCGTCTGGACTTGTTGCTCGCATTCCTTGCCAGGTAGCCCCTGATCCCCTCCAAATATTCCTGTATTTCAGGGCATGACAGCACCCCTGAGTATCTGTGGGATGTGTGCGGGGTTTTGCAAGGTTTATTTGTCTTCTGCAAAGAAATTTTCAGACTAGAAGTGAAAATCTGTAGCTGTTGTCCCTGTCATGAGGACAGAGCTTTCTGAGGTGCCGGAGCTGTGGAGATTTTTCAGACAAGTTTGACTAATAACCAGATTGTGTCATTATTGATTCTTATTTTTAAAGCATCCATAAGCGTGATGTTACCTTGCAGAAATGAGCAAGGGCTTAGTTCTCGTTGAGGGAAATTAGCAGCTGAAATTTAGCCCTGCACTGCAAGGTTATAAAAAGACAGGAATACATGGGGAGCAAAGGATGAAAGCCCAAGGGAAGTGGCAAGGGTGTGTGTTCCTGCAGTCTGGTGCAGCATGGTTTCCCCTTCCTTTTTCTGTCTTTAGCAATCAGACGGGCATTTGCTGCACCCGGTTTTGTGAGCAGGATGGGGAGCAGCGGGGTGTGGGTGAGCAGGGGCCGGGTGAGAGATGGGGGGGTCTGGGGGGAATGGCATGGCCAAAAGGACAGGGCACCCTGCTCCTGACGCCCCATTCCCCCACCTGCACTGGTGGCCAGAGTTGCCGGTGCGGTCACAGCAGGGTGATGGGCTGGCGCAGACCTGGCAGCCCTGGGGCCTTTCTCTGCAGCGTGAGCGAGAGCCGGTGCAGGCAGGGCCAGACATGCTGACCATCCCCACGGCTTGTCGGGAGCACGAGGAAGGACTGGTGCTGCCACCACCATGGAAAACAGCTCTGGAAGGCCGGTCTTTGTACCCTTTTATCTCCGTAGTAACCTGTTTAGCTATTATACAGCATACATAGCTTTGCAATATACCGTGTTGTGCTGGGTGACCGACCTTTGTTAGCATTTACCACACAGTTTCATTCATTCATTATTAATTCATTATTTGCATAAGCGCATGCTGGTATTCCCCAGTTAAAGTAAGTGCTGTCTTGCAGCGTCTCGTTGCAAGGTCCCTGCCTTAGCATGGGCTCTTCTTCATGGTCTTGTCCTCGGCTCCCAACGCGCAGCCCCCGCAGGCAGCCCTGGGTGCTGCTGTGTGGGCAGCGTGGCCTCCCTAGTCTGGCCGGAGGTTCTGGTGGGGTGGGGGCACAGGGTGCCTTCCTGCCTGCAGGCAGGCTGCCTGTCACCTGCCAGCACCCTCTGGCTCTGGCTTGTGCTGGCAGCTCCACGGCCGGCGCTGGGGTCTGCCATCTCGCCAATGCCCCCCAGGTTTTGGGGGCTCCCAGCCCTGCCCCAGGCCCTTCTGCGTGGTGTCCGTGCCTGGGCAGCGGTGGCACGCCTGTCACAGTGTCACCGGTGCTGCGGGTGCTTGGGGAGTGCAGCGCTTTGGCTGACCCACAGCTCTGCAGCAGGCATGCCATGCACTTGGGGGAGCTCTGAATTGAGCAGAAATTGAAGAAGGGGGGGAATGACAAGCGCAGACCCTGCATTAGCTTGCTAACCAGTGGGCTCCTCACCCCGGCCGGGCTGAATCTCAGGCTGGCTGTGAGCAGTTTTTTTTTTTTAAAATTCAAATAATTTAAACCAAACTTCTGGATCACTTGCAGAAAGGTTTATTGTTCTCAGTACAGTTGTCATTAGCAACACACATTTTGGTATGACTAATGGGTCTTTTTTGGGTGTCTATAAAAAAGGAAGTGGAAAGAGATTAACGTGAGCGAGGAGCGATGTGCCCTGCCAGCACTCGCTAGGCTGCTGCAGGGTGCCAGGACTTGGCCACGCTGAGTCAGTAAAATCGCTGAATTCACAGCAAGGAGCACCTCATCAGACTCTTTTGCCCCCGTCCCCATGCACGAGTTGTGCTTCCCCGCTGGTGCGCGGGATGCGGGATAGCTCCGTGAGCCAACGTGGCCGGGGTCCGCGCTTGAGCTGTCACTGAAGCAGGAGAGAGACCTGGTTGCAGAAGTCACAGCTGCAGAGAGCTGAGAGGAAACCTTACTCGTTGCAAACAGCTAAATTAGTTGCACACACTGGGTTAAATAAATTAGATGCACACAGTATTGTCAATGCTCAATATTGATTTCACTTCCACTGCACTCGTAAGAGACACCTTGATTTCTTTAACATCTCTGCCTGGCATGGGAGGAAAGCAAATTGCCACCCTCTTTCCTTTTTCTGCCAGCTGTCGTGGGAAGCAGATGAACCTGCATCCTACCACCTGAAAATGTGTGCAGTGAGGCAGTGTCGCTAGCGACTGTTCCTCACTGGCGCAGGCTTTCATAGTGGGTGTAATGCCTTGCCAAACAGGGCATCCGCTCAAGGCACTAAAGGCTGTTTTATTGGTGAAGGCGTTTTTTCTCCTCCAGGCCACAGTATTTGGTGGAGTCAGCAGCAGGTGGGAGATGCCGGGACTCCTCAGAAGAAGGGGTCTGACCTGTTCGACTCCTCAGAAGAAGGGGTCTGTCCCGTTCCAGCTGACAGTCGCGCCTGCCCACTTGGTCCTGATTGCCATCTCCACGGACGGATGCCTCTTCCCTGGGCTGCTTGGGTCTTCACTTTGGTCTTCTTCCCAGTGATGTGAATGAGTGTCTGAAAAGGAAACGCAGTTAAAAAAAGAGTCCTAAAAACCCAACCCCCCTCAAAAAGGTTTTAGAAAAGGTTAAAAGCTGAACCAGCTGGATTGCTGCAGGTGTGCTGCCTGCCCTGCCCCAGGAGGGAGCTTGGGGCAGCACTGACTTGGCCTCCCTGGGCCAATGGGTGCTGCCCCCCTGCGCTGTGTGGGCCCCCGCCTGGGGAAATTCAGGCGCTATAAATACTGCTCTCGACTCCTTGCAGGGTACGTTTGCATATTGTTTTTCTGAACAGATGTGCACATCCTTATCTGTGGCCATGCTGCTTATCATGACTCTGAATCCCGATTCACCCTTCTTTCCTGCAAATTTAGCCTTTAGTGTGGTGTTTTCAAGTTTCTTACTTTACTTTAAAAGGTGTAGTGAAAGGAGAGCAAGGAAAAGGGGCTGGGCATTCAGAAAGTGAAGGTAAACGGTGCACAGTGGCACAGAGAAACAAGGAACTCGCATCCTAAGCATGCAGCCTGGTTCGCAATCCATTTGATGCTACAAGGAGCAGTTCACTCCTCCTGGTGTGGCTTTAAAACTTGAGGGGGAACATGAAGGCCATGGTGGCACCTGGCTGCTGGGCAGGAAAATATAAGCTTAAATCTAAGTTAAATGCTGAAAACAGGCTGTTAACCCATCCTGCATGCCAGCACTGCTGCATTAGAAATAGGTTTATTCAAAATTTTGAATTAATCATGAAACGATTCTGCTTCCCGTTGTATTTAAACTTCGCACTTACAGGAACGTTCTCTCCTGGGATTTGTCCCATGGGAGGGGTGGGGGTCTGTGGGTTTCCCTCCTCCTACTAGTTGTTCTAGGACACTTAGTCAGCAGGGCATTCGTATTAGACTGATGGGGGCTTAATAGCAACAGAAGATGAAACACGGTTTTAAACAGTATGTCCGTATTGAGTATTTAACACAGAAGCAACAGTTGCGTCTTGTATCCTGAAAAACTGTCACTTCTCCAGTAAAAACTCTTTGGCCACATCTGGGAGTAGGGGAAAAATGGCGAAGACCTGAGTGGCCCCCATGCTGGGACGAGACCACGGGCTCTGCGCCCGGGGGGGTGAGCCCGGTGGCCGCCCCCGCTGCGTGCTCCATGGGTGGGATGGACTCTGTGCCACTGGCAGCTCACCCGGCACCTGCCCACTGGAGCCCCGCTCAGGCCCCCTGGCACTGGAGAACAGCACAGCCTTGGCTTCGCCCGATGCTGAGCATCCACCATGCCCAGGAACCAGCTGTGGGCTGGGGGGGCGGGGTGTCAGCGAACCAGAGTTTACGCAGGGGCTCGGGAGTTATTACTTCTATAGAAAACACTCCTATAGCTCTTCCCAGCAATGGGCCACCTGCTTGAGAGCATTAGCCCTTCCAAAATGGTCACGGTCCTTCCAAAGCCAGGTTTTTATTTGTGTCTTTTTACACTGTTGTTTGGAGTAGGCTCCTCACATTCCGTGAAAGCTTAATGTTATATACAGTGTAGGCATGTATATATTAAATACAGAACACTGAATTGTATGTGTAAGTAGACCCACCTAGCTATACACATATACAGTTCTGTGCATGGTCTGTATGTGACATCCATATCTCATATCCTCCCCCGGCAAGCTCGGGTGCATACCTATCGTTAGATGGGCTGTTTTTGTCTGCTCCTGCTGCCCGTTGTAGAAGTACAGGTGGAAGACTCTCTCTGTTTTCCAGTCGGAGAGGAGCAGGCTGTCGGTGCCGAAGAGAACTCCGTGCCTCCCGGTGATGCTGCACAGCCAGATGGGCAGCTGGGGCGTCCTCAGCCTGGGGCACACCTGGGGAGAGGGGGGTGAAGCCTCGCGTTAAATGCAGCCTTTGTCCCCGAAGCCTTGGCGTCTGGTGTGTGGACATCAGGTATGGGCCTCCCGGCTGCGGGGCCGTGCCAGCTCTCACCTGCTGCTCCGCCTGCGACCTGCCCCAGTGCAGGTAGCCCACCGGGCCCCGCCGCCGCCATGCCTCGATGCCCCTGCCGCCAGGCCCTGGCTCCTGGCCACCGTCGAGCTCGTGCGGGCTCGCTCGGCCCGTTAGGAGGAGGCTGAGCACGGCCTGTGGGGAAACAGCCCATGGTCACGCCATGAGGCAGCGGAGAAAAAGCCCTTTGCAAAATGGCAGGTGGTGTCCCGCTCCCATCTCTGTCGTGCCTGTCATGAGCAGAGGTATGCCAGACTAGCTGTGGTTTTATTGTTATCATCCTCCTCCTCCTCCTCCTCCTCCATTTTTTAAATGGACAGTCATGATTAAAATTCGCAAAACATTTTTCTATGACCTTATGCTTTTTTTTTTCATTGGATTAACAAGTGAGAATTTTTTCCTAAATCAAATGTGGGAATAATAAAAAAAGAAAACTTGAGAAATGAGGCTAATCTTACCTGTGTACAGGTGATGTTTCCAAACCTGAATTTTAACAGAGGAGTTGCTGTGCAGTCTAAATCTTCTTGGACCCTGTACAACCAAGCACAAAGTGTTATGGTAGCGTCCGGATCAGTGCCTGAGGTGGCTGCTGTACATCACTGCCTGATTAAGAGGAAACAGGAAGAAATTCCATAGACTCATTTATTTCCCTTTGCTTTTGGCACAGCAGTGGTATCCTGACACAGCAGTTTTATGCTCAGCTGGAGCTCTTGCACTTCACATGTGTTCCTATTAAAATTCAAATGTAGGGTCAGATTCAAACCACTTGCAGACGGAGCTGGGATTTCCCTCGGTGCAATTACTGCTGAAAGGCCTGTTACACCCAGGCATAGCCTGAACACAACTATTTGAAGTAGCGGTGCAATTTTTTGCTAAATAGCTGTCATAGTGTTACACATTAGTATGAATCATATTTTATATTGGTATAAATATGCCTCTGTACCTTTCTAAAGCATCTTTACCCAAATCTAATTACATTGGGTTTAGAAAGACGCTATCAGTCACCTCTGCCAGCATAGTCACACTGGCAGAATTCTGCTGTGTTTAAATAAACTTCTTGTGATTTTCCTGTTTAAGTTTAATTGACTGTGACGGTGACTATTGCTGTCAGTGGGACAACTCCTGGTTTTATACAGTGCTTTATTTTTGCTGTGTATGCAGCAGGGCTTCTCCTCTCTGTGCTGCCCCTCCTGCCTGCTCCCGGGTGTGCAGGCAGGTACTCGGAGTGTACAACGTCCGTATCCATAAAACACAGCCAGCGGGTCTGCATCTGCCTCTTGGACAGTTGCTTCTCCACATTCGACTAAGAATGGACATTTAAGTAAAACAAGGGAAAGACCATTTCGGAAGATGTAACTAAACTAGAGGAAAATGTTTAAAAAATGAAATATACCTTTCAAGTGTCCTAGAGAAAAGTAAACTGTATAAAAATAGGATCACTCCATGACTTCCTTCGCCTTTGAACTGGAAAAAGAAATAAGTAATCACAGGGGAGGAATTATGGCAGGTATATGATGTTTAATTAAAAGAATTCCTCTGCTTTAATACAACCTTAGGTGAGTATGTTGAGCCAAATGAATAAGATTTTGTAACTAATTTTGTTGAATAGGATCAGGTAAAAAAAAAAGAAAGAAGAAACTTCCAGTTATTGGCTAAACTGGTTTTGTACAGTTTTTTTCTCAGATTTTTGCTAAAGTTGCAAGGAACCTTATTTTGTATTTGAGTCACGTACAAAATGCTGCCCCAGTTTACCCAGCGTTTGTGGACTGAGTACTGAAATTGGTGGGTAAAGTCCTGGGGATTTTAGTGGGAGCAGGATCATTTCCCGTAGGAAAGGTCAGAAATGATCATGAACTAACTGTACATTAACAGTCTGAATGTCCTGCTGAAGGCGATACTATTGATCTCCATAAGGTCCACTTTTGAATGTGAAATAAGATGCAAGCAAGCAACAAAATAACTCAGAAAAAAGCAAATATCCCATACTTACACAGTTTATATGGTCAAAGATGAATTCCTGAGCTGCTGCTTTCTCAGAGAACTCAAACAGCTGGATCTGGCGTGCCCAAGCATAGGGGAAGATGTTGTAAAGGAGACATTAATTATTATCAAAAAGCTGAGCTTTTTAATCCAGTGTTTCCTTTAGACAAATGAAAGAATAATGCAAGAGTCTACTCTGCCCCTTCCTAAACTGAGAAGTTCAGCTCGAATCAAAGAGTTAGAGGAACAGCTTTACGTTAACTGGTTTATCCTTTTTGCAGGAGAAGAAAGATCAGCCTTTAATGAAAGGGAAGAGAAGCCTCTGGACTCACCTAAAGCCTCTACGAGGAGGCAGAAGTGTCTTACAGGCTCCAGCTGGGACGTGGGTCTAAAGTGCTCACAATTTGTGGTGCACCGTAAGTTAGGGAACAGGTTTATGAGATTTTATCTTTCTTGTCTTTAAAAATTTCAGGCCAAATGTGTCTTTAAAGCAAATCCTGTCTGCAGAACGTGTTTTTGTACTCACTCTTTCTGTGAAGTTGTCGGCTTTGTAGTCTCCGCTTGGCATAACATGGATGTCTGTGGTGACGAGGCAGATAACCGCTCTCACACCTCCTCCTGCTGCCCACAGGGTGTCTGCCAGGGCCACGGCCAGCGCCTCCCCTTGCTCCTGCCGGCTTATCCTGCACAGCCTGGAGGGCAGGAGACAAGGGCATGGGGCAGGGACGCTGGGGACCAGGGGGTTGGGGAAGGTCTGTGTTGAGGGTCCGTCCTCACGGATGCTGAGAGCCCCCCAACCCTGAGGCTGAACCCAAGTGTGAAACGGGCCCCTTGCCAGCTGAGGGCTGGGTCAGACCCCAGAGATCCTGCCCCACCTGAGTTATCTGGTGGCTGTGAGGACTGTGCAGGCATAACAAGTGGGAATGCAAAGATGCAAGGGGATTTGTGCAGAAGGCAGCTGTGCATCGAGCTGTGCCCATCTTCCCTGAAATTTCCACTTTTTGCTTGGTGCCGTTGCTGCTCCTGGTGCGGACGTGCTTCCCGTGTGCTGGGAGCGATGTGTCTGCCGTGGGGGCTTTCATCCTGGCTGGGGCTGCTGCGTGGGTGTCCCTGGCACCAAGGGCTGAGCTCTGCCTTCCCCTTCCCAACGCTGCCCACAGCGCGCTCGGCACCCAGAGCCAACATTGGCTGGCAGCCTGGTGAACATCCGTGCAGCGCCGATGCTGCCCAAGCGCTGCCGGCAGGCTGTGAACACAGCACCAGGGAGTGGGACAAGGAAGCAAGCGCCACTATTACAAAAACAAATGATTTGGTGGGAAAAAGCCTTGCCTGGGAGTCAGACAAGGCTTTTCTCCTGGGTGCAAATCTCCATCTGTAGCTGCAAACCTGAAATTTGGTCTAGTTCGGTTAAACCTAGAGGCTGGTGCTAGTCTGTCTTAGTCCAAATAATGCAAGGAAATAGTTTCCATATGTCCTGTGGGAAGGCTCAGCTTCTTACCTTTCCAGGTGAGTATATTCCGTGTTTCTTACGAAGAGCAGGTATTTAATGATGTGCGCTTGTACAGCCATCAGAATGGCTCTTGTTCCCCCCTAGAAACAGAAAGACAACACTTTCCAGTGCTGAACTAGCACGTGCGATGTCAATCTCCTGGAAATCACAGCAGTCCCTGGCCAGTCTAAGCCATCCTGCTGACAGTATCAGGGGGGTAATTTTTTTTTCCCCTGGGAATTCAGGAGTGCTGCTGACAACTCCTGAGCTAAATGGAAAAGTAAATTGAAAAAGATCTTATGTGCCCAAAACCAAGAAGCCTTTACACAAGAAAAGACTCCAGAGTGGCTCTGGCTGCGTGCTCATGTGGAGGGGAGGTCCCGGGCAGGGGTCTCTCCCTTGCAGCGCTGCAGCTGCAGGGAAGGGCTCTGAGCTGCAGGTACCATGTATGCCTAGAAGCACCATGGCTTATTTTTTCTCTCCTCCAGCCTTGCAGCAAAGGGACCGGGGTCTTGAGGCAGCGTGGGGCTGACGTGGGGCCATGCACGAGGGTGACCGTGCCCAGCTCTCAGCCGTGCTGTCTGCACATGTCAGGGCTGTCGTCCTCTCTGCAGTCACAGAGCCTCTGAACTCAGGGAGTTTTCACCTGCATTTGTAAAAAGCATTTTAGTCTCCTGGTGGGTTAAAGGGATTTGCAATTTTAAGTGTGTATCTTGTTCTTCTGCTTTTTTGGGGGCAGTATTATAATGGTAAATAAGAAAGAAGAAAACCTCCCTCTTTCAGTAAATGAAAATGTAGGTAAATTCACCTATTTGATTTCCAGGTGGGGCAGTAAGAAGAAGGTAACTCTAATTCCCAAAAGAGAAACGGGCAAGTACCACTCATTTATGCCCACCTACAACAACCTGCTGCTTCTCACTTGAGCCTTCACTTTGGAAGCATTTAACACCGTGGTATTTAAAGTTTGTGTCTGCAGTGTGCTGCTGATCAGGACAGCTCATCCCACTTCCAGACACGTTTCAGTGTCTCCACCACGAGGGCAGCTGGAGCTTTGCTCAGGACAGCTGTGGAGCGTGACTGCGGCTGGAAGCCCCTGCAACCTGCCCTGTGGAGAAAGCTCAGCTGGGCAGGCATGCAGAGCACAGGGTGCAGGTGTGCAGAGCGTGGGGTGCAAGCATGGGGTGCAGGCATGCAGAGCATAGGGTGCAGGCGTGGGGTGCAGGTGTGCAGAGCACAGGGTGCAGGTGTGCAGAGTGCGGGGTGCAAGCATGGGGTGCAGGCGTGCAGAGCATAGGGTGCAGGTGTGGGGTGCAGGCGTGCAGAGCATGGGGAACAGGCGTGGAATGCAGGCGTGCAGAGTGCACGGTGCAGGCGTGCAGAGCGTGGGGTGCAGGCATGGAGTGCAGGCGTGCAGAGTGTGGGATGCAGGTGTGCAGAGCATGGGTAGCAGGCATGGGGTGCAGGCATGCAGAGTATGGGGAGCAGGCATGTGCACCACCGGGGCACCCAGCACTGGCTGCCAGCTCCTGCAAGTGGCTGAGATGCTGGGGAGATGGTGCCCGTCGCTGCACCAAAACATTTACCTTTTCTGCCTCCAAAGCATAGGCCAGGTCAGAGTATGGCTCGCGAAACCTGAAGTACGCTTTTGCCCATTCGGAGCTGAAGAGGTTGAACACATTTCCAAATAGCAGTTTTCGCAGACCCTGTGGAGGAGGAGAAAGACGGGCTGGGTTCAGTTCCCTTCACATCCTAGTGTCGTGAAGGATCTTTAACGTCAGAGGGGCCCTGGGATACAGGTTCAGCGTGTGTGCTCACAGACAGAGCAGTGTAAAATTGTCTACTGAGAATCAGGCCCCATAATTTCAAAGCAAAGATGATGTTTGTGGTTAATGCAGTGACTGACTTCACCCAGCATTCAACCACTCCTGTGAAGTACAGTTGTAGTGTGTAAATAATTTACATTCGGATGCACTACACCTTTTGGGGGAAGACCTGGGCGAGGCACTTGCCATCATCAGTGGCACCTCTGGGGACAGAATTAAACATCTACATTTGCCTGTGCAAACCCCCTATAAAGCGCTTGTGCAGCAGCGGCCAGGGAGGTGCAGTGCTGGTGGGAAGCAGAGGAGGGTTCATCTGTGGCCTCCGCCTCGGAGGGCAGGCATGGCCATCGCTGAGCATGTCCCATGTCCAGGACCCGTCCAGGCACATGCAGTCAGCTTTTGGGTTGGCAGCTGAATTAAAAGAGAAAGTTCAAAAAAACATGTGGCTTCCACCTAAAATAGATATGCTTGCAATCTCTAACTGTATCAGTGAGTTTCATTTATGGTAATTTTTAACACAAGCACATTGCCACAAGGCCAGGCGGGTGCTGTTCACCAGGGGGCAGCGGGGGGTGATGGCCCCGGTTGCCCCCTTCCTTCTCCCGTGTTGGGTGCTGCGAGGGACCTGCCTGGGTGCTGGTGGCCAGGGGGAGTGAACCTGCCTCCTGGCCTCACCCCACACCACCCCCAGTCTGTAGATGCTGCCTGGGCCCACCCGGAATGTTTTTCCTAATTAATTTTAATTTTGGTGAATGATGTATTTTGCTGAGCAAAGTAAACAAAACATACATCATGGCTCTTCCCATTAAAAATTGCTCACCGCTGATCTGGGTGATTTGTGCAAGCGGGTCATGAACTGGGGAAGATGGATTCACGTGAAGCTGACAGTACGTGCGGTTATGTAGCTAAATCTCTTCAGGACTGGACATTTTTCAGATGTCTGTTCAGTAATGCAGCCCTGGTCAGGTTTTCACCTCTGGTATTAAGCCCTTGAGCTTCTCATTAAGTTTGTGCTCAAGTGACAGGGAATGGTTTGGTGTGGGAGGTCACGGGCGGTAAGACCGGCACTAGAGACAATTCTGCCATCACCCGCAGAAACCCCCCAAGCTTCTGGTGAAGGCTCTTCATATGGGCAGGGGCAGCAGGCACCCGTCATTAGTGCTCTCAAAACCAGGTATTTGGGTGAGAGTAGAAATACCTTACTGATCTCCTGAACTTCTGCCTGCTGTTCTGAGGCTATTCGCTAGGAAAGCACCAAAGAGCAGGGAAACATTACACTTTGTCATTTGACCTATTATCTAATGAGAATTATAGTATATCAGTTTTAAGGTTGTGTTGCAACCATGTTCTTTAAAAGTCTTGTAAATAAATCATTACGATTATATACTTCTGTTACAGCTAACAGCAGGCTGCAGCCTTCAGCCCAGCAATATGCTGAGCCTCCCGTAACGCCAGGTAAGGTTCCCGAGTCTCTTTCTTTTAACGAGATTAAATTACAGCTCATGCTTAATTCAGCAGGCCTGCTCACCATTGCCATTTCCAAGGAGATGGGACGGCCGCCCGTGTCTGGAGAGAGCAGGAGGGGCTTGGGGATGGCGGAGTGGGGGTGAGGTGCCGGAGGCTGTGGCCCCACGGGCTCTCCAGCTCCAGGTGCTCCATCGCCAGCGCTGACCCGGCGCTGCTGGACAGAGAGGAGCAGACGGTACATCATCCCACAGCTGCTGCCTCGCGTGCGCCAAAAGTTACCCCCCCCGCAGTATTCCCAGTGGGGTGGGCACAACGACCCGTCGATGAGCTTACAGAGGGGCAGGGGGGACAGTATGCATGCTGTCAGGGGGCGTTGGTGTGTTTGACTTCCAGCTTTCTTCAAACATTACAAATACGTCCCTACAAGCTGATGATTGGAGTATAAAGTAATGTTGTGTTTGTCTGAATTACAGAGAATAAACCTCAGTGCTTTTCAACCTAAAGACACAGCAGGTTTTCCAAATACTTATATTTTAGAGATCTTAATTTGTTATCCTTTTTTCCTGTGTTCTAAAACTGACCATGAAAACTGTTACTTTTAGACAGAAAGGTTAATTTATGCTGGACTACTCTGCCGCTTTGATTTAGATCAGGAAGACATTCCTTTAAAATATCTGAAGAAAATGCATGTTTCTTAAAAGAGGAGCATAAGAAATAAATCTCCATAAAGACTGTCTGCTGTGCTGCATATATAGATGTGTGTTTTCCTCAATATGCTAACCTGGTGGAATAGTCGCAAAAAACACTAGACAAATACAACATGTTGCCTTTTAGAGAAACAGTTACCTGATGAGTTGTACTGCTGATTTCCAAACTGAAAAGGGAAAATAAATACAAATTAAAAAAAACAACAGAGGCATTGCTAACATATGAAGAAACAGGAGACCAGCCAGAAAAGAGCCCCAAAAGAAAGGAAGAGTAAAAGCTGTAGTGCTTGCATTACTGAGTACATGAAGACCTTTTTCCATGGTCACATAAGTATTGTAATATAACTTAAAAAATGATATTAAAAAAACACCTGGAATTAAAAATGCTATAATGAAGCAGAATAAAAATCTTACCCTTGGAAACTAAAAATTTCTCTCCATTTGTTTAGATCTGAAATTTTGCTGGCGATCTCCTCTAGCTCTGTCCATGGCATGGTGCGCTCAGCCTCCTGGTCACCCATCTGCAGCCGCCCGCACTCCGGGCGATGCTGAAGGATGTGGGCACTGGGACTGCTCGGAAAGCGGCTCCCCCCAGACCCACACCTCTGCGAGGCACCCAAATCCCTTCTGCCTGTCACCCCCTGGGGCTCACTGTCAGCTCCCACCGTCACACTGTGATTAAACTTTCATGAGAGCCCGTCATAGTCTGTGTTTTTCTGTTTGCTGTATAAGCAGCATGAATGTTTTATGCCAGAGACAGAGCTGTATGAAGCTGACTGCAGCTATGTGTCTGCTCTGTAAGGGCTGGCTCCAGGCGTGGTGCGGTGCAGGAGCAGGGGATATTTTCTGGCTGCAGGGCTGCAGCTCCCTCTGCGTGGGCTGACAACAAGCGGGATGGAGTCTGGGCTGCGAGGGCTGGGTGGGAAGTGTGTAGCTCAAGGGAAAAAAAAAAGCAGACTTAGCAGATGTCTGTAAAGTTGAGCAAATTTGCTGGGGAGATGAGCTGGAGAAAGGCAAAAATCCGTGCAGTGATGTTCCCTTGACTTCTGCCACTTGCTGTAGCAAGGCTGTCATGCAGGCGCACGGGTCAGGCACTGCATAGCTGAGCGGGGGGAAACCCACTGGTTTTGTGCTGCCGGGGTCATGGAAATCTTGCAGTTTGTTTTCTTCTCTTTCAGTCTGTGAGAACACACCGACCGGGGGTATCTGTCTGAGTTTCGGCGGAAAAAACGTGAGGTTGAGCTGATGTTAATGAGATGAGCCTGGCTTCCCGTGGCGCAATGGGAAGCTGCTCTGGGTTTCCCCAGGTGTGTCTAAGCCCGGTCTGTCCGGGGCAGCCATACAGTCCAGCTCTGATGGCTTTGCATTCTCTGCAGGGTCATTGGGAACAGCTTGGCTCAAATCTTGGTTCATGAAAATGGAAACTAACTGGGCCAGCCTGCATGTGAGATATGAAATGCCCGTTTTTTTCTTCCAGCTGAAGGACCCGTGGCTTTACTTGGTAAAAAAAGCTGCTCTCTTCTTTGGTGTGATACAGGCTCCAGTCTTTTGGCTTCCTAAAAACTGACATAAAATCCCTTTGCCTCTATTGGAGTAGCTCTTCCTTATAGAAAGGGTAGAGTATCCACCAGGTTCCCAGCAAATTGAGTGTGAACCATGCATTTCTGCTTGGGAGAAAGCTGGGGAAGAGCCGGGTGGGAGCGTCGTGCTGAGCGTGCTGGGGCGAGCACCACCTTGTGCTCATGGGGCGAGAGCGTTCGCACAGAAAACTCCCCCATGCGCAGGGGAGGCTTTGCGGCAGCAGCTCTGCACCACTGTGCTACCAGAGTGCTTATACATGGGGATAATAAAACAAAGTTAGGGCTAACCTGTTCTTCTCACTCGCGTGTTCCTGGGTGTGGGGAGCAGAGGACAATTCCTGCTGCAGTCAATGGGAGTTGTGTTCTTGAGCCCTAAGAACTGAATTTGGTTTGAAAGAAAGATGCCCCTTAGGAGCTGGTCTGTAATGGCAAAGTGTACTCTACCGAGTGCATCTCTGCTTCATTTAATTGCCTCCCTAGGATGCATGCAGGCACAAAAGGAATTTGACCTGGAAAATCAGGCAGTCAGTCCTTCCCTCTCCGATAAACACTGGCTTATCTCATGAGTTGATTCGTTATTAGCTCTTGTCATTTCTTCAGAGTTTTGACATAAGGAGAATAGATTTACCTATGGATTTGTAAATAGAATAAAATAGATCAAATCTACTCCACGTTTGTAAGTAAACTGGGATGGAGCAGACTGATGCAAACCAGGCTGTCTCTTTTCAGGGATTAGAAATCAGGGTGTGGGATAAGCTGCCTTTCCAGATTTGGAGAGTTCACCAAATTTGGGTACTTTATGGCAGAGGAGCATGAACCTGGCTCTGTAGAACTGGCCATCGCTGGGACCAGGCACCAGCTCCTGAGAAATGGGTGGAAGCGTCATTACCCATCTCTTCCCCACCATGCAGACCACTTCCCAGCGAGCAGTGCCCTTTTGGAGACATCAGGTGAAACGTCAGAGCAGTTGCTGTGGTGGGGAACAGTGTCCTGTACGCCGCTCCTGTGTTTTCCATCAGGAATGGCATAATCCTGTCAATAATGTGCTTGACATTGTGTCTTTCCGCAGAATGCCGAACTGAAATGTGGTTTTGCCCTTCAAGTCCACATAACTTTCGGTGCTGGTGGTGATGACAAGTTCAGGCACCAGGACAGCAAACAGCCCAGGACCTCGCTGCAGGAGGCAGAAATCCCCCGCCTGGTTCAGCAGCTGGTCTGGAAAACCAGAGGGAGGACGTGGCACAGGAAACCCCATCCCTCAGCCGCGTGCAGCGTCCACACCACCCTGGCCTGTCCCCCCCGAGGGGCTGGTTCCCCTTGCCCCTTTTCCCACCTCCATCCAGGCTGGGCCGTTTGCGTGCCTGCCCGCTGCCCCCCTGGGGAGAGGATGAAGCCCAACCTCGGGGCAATGGCAGCTGAGCGATACACCTGTCTGTGTGCCACTGCCAGGCTGGAGGGGACACAGACCTGCACCTCTCGGCCTCCGATGGGAATGATGGCTGGCGGCAAAAATAACACAGTTAAGAAGTTAATGAAACTTTGCGTTTCCATGGCAGCTTCTGTCTCCAGATGTCAAAGCCCTTTCCCTAGAGAGACAAGTGAATATTGGCCCAAGGGGAGAAACCCATACTTGCGTCAAGAGGGCTTTGGCACAGACCTCTCCTGACTTCTCCATGATGTAGGTAAATGCTTTGAGATGTCGGAGGGGAAGCTGTGAAGCTTAATTAACTTCTTCCCTAGCACAGTCTCAGCTCTGCAGTAACTCAGAGAGGAAAGGCTCCTCGCTGGGGCAGCGGCGCTGGCATTTCCTCAGCCGCAGTCAGCGCCGAGCATCCCTCCGGTGTCAGGCAGCGGGGAAGGCATCCCTTGGCCCACCGCTCCCCGGGTCCAGGCTGTAGGGTGTCTGGCTGCAGGGTTCGTTGTTAGCATTGCTCCCACCACGCTAATGTCTGAACTGCTCCATACCACGGAGTCTTGCTGAGGTGTGTCATTTCTTGGCTGCGCTTTACAGAACTACGTCCACAGATTTCAGTGTGGACGTATTGCTTGTGCCGTTGCAGGGAAGTTGACTAAGTCTGTTGTTCACGCTGTTTCCAAATGATGAATGATCTCTGCTTGGGGTAGTAACTTTGACAAGAAAACCTGTTAAGGTGGATATGCTTTAGAAGGGTCCGCTATGGGAGCCAACAGGGCAACCTCCAGGATCCCTCCCTACTCGGGGCAGTCACAGCAGTGGGGTGCAATACGGGTCCAGAGAGCACAGTGAACTCCACATCTGCAACATGATGCTCCTCCATTCACCCCTACATCAGCATCATGGGCCAGTGGTCTAAGCCTGGTACACACCCTTGTATATACATATTTTATATATATATTTGTATTTATATGTATGCACACTGCATGCACACAGACATACAGACACACATGTGTACTAACTTTTTATTGGGATACAAAAAAATTTGATTTTTCAAGAACCTTCAAAATATATTGTCATGGTTTAACCCCAGTCAGCAACTAAGCACCACACAGCTGCTCGCTTACCCTCCACCCCCCCAGTGGGATGGGGGAGAGAATCGGAAAAGCAAAAGTAAGAACACTCGTGGGTTGAGATAAGAACAGTTTAATACTTGAAATAATAAACTAACAACAACAACAGCAGCAACAACAAATTGTAATGGACAGTAAAACAGAGAGAGAGAGAGAGAAACAAAACCCAGGAAGGGAAAAAACAAAAAAAATCCAGAAAAACAAAAAAACAAGAGGTGATGCAATTGCTTACCACCTGCTGATCAACACCCAGTCAGTCTCTGAGCAGCGATCACTGCTCCCTGGCCAACTCCCCCCAGCTTATACACTGAGCATGACGTCACATGGTATGGAATATCCCTTTGGCCAGTTTGGGTCAGCTGTCCTGGCTGGGCCCCCTCCCAGCTCTTGTGCACCTCCTCGCTTGCAGAGTGTGGGAAGCTGAAAAGTCCTTGACTTAGTATAAACACTGCTTAGCAACAACTAAAACATCGGTGTGTTATCAACTTTGTTCTGTCCTAAATCCAAAACACAGCACTGTACCAGCTACTAGGAAGAAAATTAACTCTATCCCAGCCAAAACCAGGACATATATTTATATATTTCTCCTCACTATATAATTTTTGCTGTTTTTTAAATCATGAAATATGCTAGTCTAGAAATAAAACAGGGCAAAACTTCTTCAGCCGACGCTCATGGATTACAAGTGAGCCACAGGGTATGTGCTGGTGCTCATCCAGGAGTGCAAGCTGAGCAGGTCATGCTTGCTCTGTTACTTTCAGCTGGTCAAACACACAAATATTGTCTCAATTTTATTTTGCTAGTAAGAAGTTGTTATGTTTGCCTTAGGAACTGGATATGAATGAAAATAACAGCTGGCCTCATGCTCATGAGTGGGGTGGGATGCAGGGGGAGCAGTGGAGCTGGGGTCTTTGTGAGGTGATCCCCCCGTGAAAACGCCTGGACCCCAAGTCAGGGGCTGCTCTCTCCTGCACAGCAAAAGGGACGAGAATGGGTTTATCTTCTGTGCTGAGGCAGACCTGTGCAACTCTGTATTTTACACATAGGGGCCAGCTCCTTCTTCCGGACTGGCAAGGACCACTCAGAAAGACACACGCACGTGAGTAGTCTGTACGTCTGATCCTGTACACTGCCGATTGCCAAAGCTGCTACAGAGCTGCAAAGCAGAGCAGCTTCACGAAACATCAGGAACAAGAAGGATGAAACATTACTCTTCATTATTTGCTGTATAGTAAACAGTACCATGAGATGTAATACAAATTATGCGTTAAGAAGATACATTAACATTAAGAAGAATGTGCATATTAATTAAGAAGGAAAAGATGGAAAAAGAGTTGGGGGTCGTGGCAACTTGCAGTAGCCCTTAC